AGAGGAGCGCGCGGCAGCGCCTCCGCCGACGATTGGCTGTGGGGTTCCCCGCCCCCTGCCGGCCGGACGCAGTTTGGCGCGAAATCTGGGAGCGGAGAGCGGGGGGAGGTGAAATGGCGGTCGGGCCGGATCATTGTGGCGGTGCGCGGGGGGAGTGCGCGCGGGTGAAGCCGCTGCGGGCGGAAATGTGGCCGTCACAGGTCGGCGGCGAGGTGGGGGCGTTAATTACCGAGAATAAAGGAAATTGCTGGTGTAGCCTCCTTGGAGAAGGCTGGAGTCTGTGGGGTTGGGCGGGGTGTTTGGGCCTATGCGATGTGAGCAGGAGGGGCCGGGGCGATGCGGTGGGACATACCGTGGGGAAGTGGTGGGCAGGGAGGTCTGGCTGGGGCCCCACAGGGATGACTGTGAGCAGGAAGCCTGATGGCTTGCAAACAAGCTGCTGCTGCTGCTTCAGTATATGTGTTCTCTGCGGTGCTTTTCTGCTGACTAGTAGTGAATTTTGGGGGAAGGCTGTCAGGGCATTGGGCAAGAGTTTTGGCCCTTCAGGAATGTGTTAGTGCACATCCTAAATGTAAACAAAGCTGGGAAGTATAGTGCATTGCAAGGGAGGTTATAACTGTAGCAGGTGGGAAATAAAGGCCATTTCATCACAGAGAAACCAACTCATGTTGCAGAGAAACCAGATATAAAGATCATAGTCTTCATCTCTGATGACTTGTTTGGGCTCACACCCGGTAAGTGATAGCACAATGGCTGTGAGTTACTTAAAACACCATACTTCTGCTGTGAGCACAGAGGGCATGATGTCAGTCTGAATCCAGATTTCTTAACTTTGAGGTCACAGTTATAATCTCTTCAAGCAGTGGAGAGGGACTAAGTGTGGTAGAGTGCATTTTTGAGCTCATGGGCATTTATTTGCATGTTTGGGATGTTTAGTTATACAGTATGGCTGAATGAACATAATGATTTAGTTGGGGTGGGTTAGAGGGACTGAACAGATAGAACGTAACATAAATTTGAATTAATAAGTTCTTGTATTTGAGTAACTGTCAAGCTTCATATCCCTGCTTTTCAAACATCTATGTTTTTTAAAAAACAACTGGTTTTGCTACCAGGGGTTAGCAAATGGGTCCAAATAGAGAAGTAGTAAAGGGGATTTTGGAAGAGATATAGGGTAGATAAGAGCCTAAGAATAATGACAGCCCCTCTTTCCCACTGCTTATTCTCATCAGGAGCTACCTTCTGGTTCTTGCTCTTTGAGCAGGTTCAGTGCTGGTAGTTAAAACAGGTTGGTAGAAAAGTGGGATTAAGGTCACAGCCAGAACAGGCAGCATCATGGAGACAGGTTGATCACAGAGGCTTTCTGATAGAAAGAGAGGAAAGGACTCTGAGGTGAGAGATAACAGCCTTGTTGGTACCTGCTGTGCCATACCTGAACTGCAGCCTCTCCTGCAGTGACTCATGTGTTAAAAGACCCTTTGAAGAACATAGGGCCTACGGCCATAACAGTGGCTGGCCACAAAGCCAGATCTCCCTATCTGCCTCAGCAAGAGGAGGAAAGCAAGCTATGTGCATGGGCTGCTCCAGCATTGCTGTGTGTTTAGAGCATCTTTAGCAATGCCATGTGTGTGCCCAGTCCTGGGAGTAGGCTGGGTTGGTTTGTTTGCTTAGGTGAGTTGCATATGTAGTTGCATACTTGATGTCTCTCATTTAGCTGCCTTGTAGGATCAAAACCCAGTGTGTATTTCATTTCTGGGTGGTGAAAACATACTTGCTTTTATGATTCATGCTGAAGTTCTGACAAAGGCAGGCTGGTACTGGAGCTCTTAGCTGGTAGTGGCAAGGGAAAGCTGCCCTGGTTTTGACCGGGTAAGGGTGCTGTCACCTTTTGCTTTTATTAGAATAGCAATGAGCTTTTATGTATGGCTTCCACCCCTTAAAAATACTTTGTACATTCACTGAATTTTGTGCCATTTCTAGAAATAGAGACCAGCGTGTAGGAGCTGAAGAAACCTGCCCCAGCTTGTAACAAGTTATTGTTAGCACTGAGTGGGAACAGAGTTTGGCTCTGATGATAGCTCCCACTTTTGTCTATTGTCATGTCTGTGGAGGCAGCAGCTCCAAACGAGATAAAACTGAGAGGAAGACAGACACCTCCCCAGGTAAGGCTTTAATAATAGGAAACACCAGGCCTGAAGACTGTACATTGAAGTTTATTATGTGTATAAATTATATAACCATACAAGAGAATGACACTATCTTCAACAACCATCTGCTTTTTAAAAAACAAAAATGATTGGAAAAAGAATTAACAAAGACCTACTAGTGTCATATAAAACAGTCTATAACCCACAGGAGCTGTGTGACTCCACAGAGAATGTGATCACAGTATTATCTAGCTGTATTAAAAAACTGAGGAAAGATAGATGTCAAAGCTGCATTTCTGATCCTGTAGGATTTTGGCAGGCACTCTAAAGCAACGACAATTCTTGGGCAGTGTTTTTAGCCTTTTCTACCCTTAGTTCCTGGTGATAAAGTTAATCTCTGAGAAGAGCTCACACCAAGCACAGGAGAGACTTTGCCTGAACTCCCTTACAGCATTGATTTCTGGGGAGAAAACTCTCCTAATGTTAGTGGCAGAGCCAAGATCACAGTACCAGTCAGAGGGAGTTTCTCTCACAAGGAATGGGGAAGGTCGATTAGTTCAGGATGAGGGAAGGCACAAAGAGAAGGTGAAGGTCCTGCTCTTTCACATGACAAATAGACCCACAGCAACTGTCATGGCTAGGAAGCTGAGCGCCAGGATCCACCGCACCAGGGGAGTGATAGGCATCATGTCTGTGTGTCTCCTGTTTATCCTCTCACTTTCTTTCCCAGGTGCTGAGCCTAGATCGAATAGGGAGGGGAAAAAAAAAAAAAAAAGAGAGATGGGTGAAAAGAGGTTGAGGCAAGAAGCTGCTGCTATTGTGTACTTGCTCTTCCCAGTGCTGCAGCAGACCCTGCTGGAGTTGTCAAGGGGAGGAGGAAGCTCAGAGCCCAATTGGGCTGAGGGTAACAGCAGCAGCTGGTTCTGCTCTCCTGGGGTAGGTGAAGGGAAGCAGCAGACTTGACCTGGGTATCACAAAGGCTCACAACCCCTCTGCCTGTAGGTGAGTACCAGCCTATAACCTTGTCTCCTTACAGGCTTAGAAATGCACTGCCCAGCTCCATCAGACCCCTGATGTGTGCAGGAGACAGCCAAATACTTAAGCCAGAATTTTAAAAGGTCTCCTCCTTCTCATTGATTCAACTGGTTAGGCATCTAATGACCTTAAACAGGTAGTCATCAGCACTCCAGACAAATAAATTTCCCAGTACAACTTCAGGATGGGATTCCTCATCCAGCACTAAACTTTTCTGAAAAACCTACTTTCATGAATGTGTTGGGAAAGGCGCAGCAAAGTTTCACAGAGAACTTTTACGGCCTTCGCAGAGAAGTTGCTTTAAGCTTCATTGTCTAGAAATGTGCAAGACAAGGTTTACTTTTTGTTCTTTGCCATGGGAAAACTGTGTTTTTTCAGTATGTACTGAAAAAATCTCCCATTTAGTTTCAGAATAGTACGTCATAAGGGCTTTTTATTTGAATCACACATTATCAAGGAAACCACTCTCCTCTGTAAACATCTGAGCCTGCTCCTCACTCAGTCACAAACTCGACTCTGAAAAGGGATTGCTCTGTTTGCAGCTGCAGCTTGGGCTTTACCTAGTTCAGGATTGGTGCTGGCCAGTAATAAGAATTTCTTCAGTTTTACAAAACTGATGGGCAGCCCCACTTCCCAGCTGGTTACATTTCACCATCCAGAACAATGCTCACTATAAACCGAGCACACTTTTGGGAGAGTTTTCAGTAAATACTTCTGGAAGGCAGGAAAATGACCAGAGGGAGATTTAGTTTGAAAGGACAGGCCATTGGATAGGGCTGTGTGTCTGCAAGAACCTTCTGTCAGCATCACAGCACCACAGCTGATCTGTTGGGCCCAAAATTGTGGCCTTTGCTTCTGTGAACTAAGGGCCAGTTTTCCCTGTGGTCAAAACTCACGTGGCAAATGAAACTTACACTTGTTAAAACCTAAGAGGAGGAGAGGGGAGTCTCTTATAAAGCTCCCTCATTGACACTATTTCTGGAGAGCCCACGTGTCATCCTTGCTCTTTCATGTCTGGAGGAAACTTTGCACGCACCAGTGCCTCTCCTTGCACTGCCTGATGATGGTTGGAGAAGAGACAGGGCAAGCACCTCATGCTCATTTCTCAGTGGCTTTTACAAACAAGAACAGAGGAAGGGAGAAGAACAAATCCACAAGGGACAGTGTTAAACACCTGCCATTAGAAGTATCTTACCATGCTCATATGATTTATTAATATTTCTTGTGCGAAGCTCTGCCTTCAGCACAGGGTGACCATTCTCTTGGCCCTTAGACACCAACTCCTGCAGCGCTTCGAATACCTGAGAAGAGGGAACACTGTCTTATTAAGTGGCCTCCTCTTCTTTTACTGGCCCCTCTGCCCCAGGCATGTTAACAATTAGAGGAAGACACAAGCATTCAGTTCAAGTCTCCTGGCACATTTTGCACAGAACATAATTTGCCTGTGGGGTCAAGAGCATGTCTTTCAAACTCCTTGTTCACTTTTCAGCTTCTCCCTGAAGCTTCCAGCTCAGGAGGAGGCTATCACCTATCTTCTGATGGGAAGGAAAGCAAGGTACTCATGCATCTAGTCAGCATGCACAGAGGACCTGTGGAGCTGTACTATAGACAGACAGGTGGTGATCCTCACTCCTGATTCAAGTTCTCATTCATATCTGAATACTAGTACAGGGAAGAGACTGAATTTAAACCCTACGGGAGGGAGAAGGGCTTTTCAAAAGACCAACCTTTAAATAGGCTTCCAGGTTGGACAAGTGTAGCCACCTAACTGACTAGCTACTAGCTTGTCCTAATCCACAACTTCCCATAGCCTCCACAGTAGAAATACCAGCTTTGCATTTCCTGTGTAGCTATTATCTGGTTTCAGAGAGGGTGTGGGCAGAAGGGCTGTCTGGCGGTTACTCACCTGTATATTTAGCAGGAATGCTTTCTTGGCCTCCTCCAAGACTCTTTTCTTAGTGGCAAGATCCATCTCAAGGGCATTCATGCGGGAGCGATAGAGCTGCTTAAACTTGGTGGCATTGGAGACTCCATCAAAGGTGAAGAAAGCCACCCCTTCTCCAGTGCTGGGCAGCTGGAGGGCCTTTTGGGCAATTTTCTTCAGCACCTGCCCTCCAGACAGGTCTCCCAAATATCGCGTGTAGGCATGGGCCACCAGGAGCTCTGGGTGGCTCTTGCCTATGTAGTGGAGCCTCTCAACATATTTTTGAGTAGCCTCAGGACATGTGATCTCTTCCTTCCAGTTCCTGCCATAGAAATACTCCAAGTCTTGCTCCAGGGCAGCTTTTCGGTGCAGCTCCGCTGGAAAATACACAGGGGCATAAACTGGGTTGTCCTTGTTACGTTCACTCTCTTCCTCCAGAGCAGAGTAGATGAAGTACAAGGATGTGGCAACCAGCTGAAAGAGAAGGAAGAGGATGAGCTTTAGGTGCATCTGTCTGTTCTTCAGTTTTTGGGGAGAAATCCTGCTATCAGGAAAAGTTACTCATGGGCACACCCAGTAGGAGTCATGCACATCTGTGATGTTACAGCTTTCCCATACAAAAAACAGAGTTTCAGGCTGCAGTGAGACACTGTTTAGCCCTTCCCCTTGTGCTTGAGGCAGCATCAGGTAAGACCTAAGCCCTTTCCAGCAGCCATTGGTCCTACCTGCCCTTAAAAGCTGTTGCAATCACCTTCAAGTTAAAGGTCTGCAGTTTGATGTAATGGAAAATGGAGCCCTACTGAGTTTGGTCTATTCTCCTCATTCCTTCAGTCAACAAAGAAGGTATTCCCAAAGTTTTGTTTTCTGGTGCATGGTTCAAATCTGAATGCTTCAAGATGTGATTTGCCTTTGTGGGGCCTTGTGAGAGAATGACACACCCTGTTTATTTTTTATTATATTCATCCTGTCGCCATCCCACCATCCTGGCAACTAAGGCAGCACCGCTCTCCTCACTCAGACTTGCAAGTGGAGTTGCCTCCTTGGTTGCCCCAAGGAGACAAGATAAAGGGGGCTGCCTCTGAAAGACGCCTTTGTGAAGGAGCGCTATGAGGCTGTGTGTTCTCCTCTATTTTGAAACCATTGTTACTGTTTTTCCCACCTTACACGATACTTTCTTCTATCTGCCAACTTTTCCACGTGGTGTAAGACAATCTAGCTGTGTTCCTTCCTGCTGCAGGCATTCTGTTTTCAGAGGCTGTATTCTTATTTATACCTACACCACTCCTTCCTTTCACTGGAATCCCTTACCAACAGCAAAGGGTAAAACATGAAGGCATTGCAGTACAGGTGAGTCAGGTTTGAGGAGGGGGGATTATGCTGATGACAGAAGAGAAAGCAGTTTACTCTCCCACAAAGCAATCAGTTTGGCAGTAAAAGAATTACTGTTTCAACTTTTCCCCACTGTGCCAGCAAACAGGACTTTGATAAGCACACAGGCAGTGGCTTGGATGTGGAATCAGATTCTGGAGTCACATGTCAGAGCAGATATATAGGTTTGCCAAGAGATTAAACAAAAATAGAGGTTTTAAAACAACAACCTCTTATCGAGCTTACTGGAAAAGAAACATAATATGTGAACATTGCCTAACAACCTAAGAAAAGATAACTTGACTGGTTGTTTTCATAGGCAGGTTTAATGGGAAACATGACTTCTGATAACTGTCATTACTTCTTAAAACCAACATCACATCTCGCTCTCCCTGACAGTATGCAAATATCTTCTAAGAAACTGAGCTGTATTCCTGAAGGCCTGACTTTCTATGTTATTGCCAGCCTGTCTTAAAGTTGACTGCCTAATCAATACCCCACTTCTCAGCACCTGAGACTAAATTTATGCTTGACTAAGTACCCTGAATGCAACCTGTCAGAAATAAGTAGTCTTTTTCCTACTCTTGTGTGTTTATTTGCCAAGGAGCAATTCAACAACAAAATAATTAAACCACAGGTTGAATCACTAGCTGTTATTTGCAAGACCATGTGTCACATCCTATAGCCTCCCAGAAATTTTACTGGCCCAGGTGTGTGCTTTCGTTTTGCTCATGCCTTTGTTATGTGGCTCAGATCCCAGGAATCACTTATGTAGCCAGGTTAGGTGCAGACTAGTATCTGCAAATGTTTCTCTTATCTTTAGAAAAGAAGCAAGCTCCTACCTGTTAGCAGCTGACGGCTTGCTCAAATTCAGTCTGCCTTTTAGTTATTATTGTTCACAATCCCAGCTCTGGTATAACCCAAGTGACAACTGAAACACTGCAAGGTTCAGTGCCAGAGATGATCCTATATCCTCACTTCCTCACCATTCTGTCATTATTTCTAGCTGTAGCTGCTATGAGTGTTGTAAATTTAGTATTCTCCCTCTTTTTGACATTTCAAACACCCAGGTATCTGCACATAGTTGTATCTCCATTAACTATCACTGCCAGTAATTAACATGCAGGCATTTATGGAAAAAAAAAAAAAAAAAGGAAAGCAATTGCATTAATCTCATCAACTTCTTTGTCTTTTTATCCTGTGTCAGTTTGGCTGCCCATCTTGATATGCAGTCCTGCCCCACCTGCAAGAGGAGCTGGTAAGCTCTTAGGGTGCTGGAGTGTGATGAAGAGCATGTTTGCAAAGGAGATGCTGATACCAGACAGCTGTAATGCAAATAACCTCCTTCCATGTGCCATCACCATCCTCCCTCCTTCAGTCCCTGCACAGCCTGTCTGATCTAACAGTGTATTTCCTGGCTAGGAAATCCCATCCCCAAGCAATGCTGCTACAAAGTACCTTAAACTCGTGGAGTGACACCTGCCCCTTCTGGAAATTCATCATGAATGGTGTGTTCTCTGCCTGCTCATGCACCTCCTTCGTAGCTTCCTTCATCAGTTCTGACAGGTCCCTGGACATGCTGGGAAAGAGCAACAGAACAGATGTCAGTGCTGTCGCTCTCCTCTGGCAAAATAGATCTTAGCTCTCTAGGAAAAAAAGGGGAGCCTGAGATGGCAGGAAAAGGGGCAAAGCATTCCTGAGAGCCATGGGTGGGAACCGGGGAGCACCAGTACCCCAACGCTGTCCTGCGCAAGGAAGACGGCCAGGTTCCATCTAGAGGTGAAAGCAGGAGCATGCCGTTCCCTGCAGAGCAGAAACGAACAGCATGCTTGAAAGCAGGGGGAGAAACACAACACTCTTCTGGCAAAAAGTTTCCCTCTCATTCCCGTTCCGCTCTCACCTCTCAGAGCTGTGTGTCTTGGACGTTTCCATGTTTCTCCACTTCGTTTCACTCCTCCCCTTCCTTTTGTTTTCTGTTGCTCGTGCTTCTCTCCTTCCTTTCTGCGCCCAGGACAGGGAAGCTCGGCGCTGGGCAGCCTGGCTCCCTCATCCTGCTTTATACCGCCAGGCCACGTGAACAGCCGAACCGCTGACCTCAGTGGGAGCACAAACTTCTTGCAGCGCAACTGCACTTCCCTTTCCAGCGTGGCAGTCACCCTTGCCTTGCCTGCAGCCCTGAGGGACCAGAAGGAAGTCACCTGATGTGTCTTGATAACTAAGCACAAATGAGAGGATGTCCAGCAACTTCTCTTCAAGAGTGTCTGGCTCTGTAACCTGCTCAGCACAGTGCCCATGGCAGGCAGAGCCATGGTGCTGCAAGAGGTGCTCATTGTGCTGTGGACGGTGGCGTTGGGCAAGGAGGGGTGGATTTACAGGGCTAGTGCCCGGAGCAGGGTGGGCAGCCTCCTCTCCCTACACCCCAGCCTGTGTCCCGGCTGCACCCTGCCTGGGGAGCTAATACAGCCCCCACAGCTGTGATATAAACATCTTATTTCCTACAACTGTGCACGTCTTCAGAGAGTCTTTCCAACAATGAGGTACTTGTGGGCCACGGGATGGGGAGCTCAGCACTACAGATTAGGAGCATACACCCTTCATGGCAGGGAGTACAGTCAGGGACCTTGGGCTGGGTACCAGTCATGGGCACCCAGGGTAATCCGGGTGCTGTGGCACATACATGCCCCAGCACTGGAACTGCCCTTGCACAGTGCTGGGCGCTGGGGAGTAAACCCTGTCTCTTTGCATTGAGCCAGCACAGGTGTGCCTGCATTGATGCACAGAGAAATCCTTTCCATGCTCCCTTGTGCATGATAAAAATACTGATTGTGTGGCAACTGGCCCCTACTGTTAGCACAGCTGTGTGCAGGGCAATTTAGAATAGTGCTCCGTCTCCTAGATGCCCAGAAAGCTGGGAAGCTCATGGACTGAAAAGATGTGATATAAGACTTGGGGGAAACTGAGGAAGTCTGCAGAGGTTTTCAAAGGCAAATAATTTATCTGATTTGGGAAAATAGAGTTGGACAACTTCTGCCAGTAGCTGGCTGCTCTGCTGTTCTGTCTGGTGAAGTGGTCAATGAGGCAGCCAATGGATAAAGCAGGCCCTTCTCTTCCAGCTGTATCTGTGCTGGAGGCAAAGCTAGCCACGACGGACAATGCATCGGTCAACTGTGCTTAGGCAAAAGGACACATTTTGTGCTCAACCCAAAGAGCAGAGCACTTAAAGCAACCATTCCCTTGCTGCTGTGGGGGTGAGGAAGCCCTGTGCTGCAGTGGTGTGCAGGGCGGTGGGTAAGGAGGCAGTGCCTGGGGAGGAGGGGGAAGGACTGTGGCATCTTCTGTCTGTCTGTCCTCTCTAGTGAGTCCACTCTGGGGCTTTGCTGATGGGTGCTGCTATCCAGGCTGCGTGCCTCACATGTCTTCCTGTCACTGCATCCACATCTGGGTTTGTCCTGTAGGTTAGGAAGCTGTCCTGACAGAAATATGTTTCTGCGCTTGTTTTTCAGCTCAGGAAGACATCTGGCCTGCGGTGCAGCACTCGGGAAGGATTACTCAGCGATTCCGCTCTGACTCAGCCCAGACTTTTCCTGTCGTGCTTTTGTCTTTTAAAGCAACAGTGCCTGTTAGCAAAAGCTGTCATGTTCTACTCTACCCCATGCCATTGCAGATAACTTGCAGCTGGCTTGCTTGTTTTTCTGTACGGCAAAATAAATGTATCAGGATGTCTTAGTCTTTAGTGTGACAAAGCCCCAAACATCCCCTGAGAGATGGCTGTGGTGTGGAGTCCATGGGAGCACAGGGCTGCATGGCCAGTCCCACCTGAAAACATGCCATTTTGACCCAGGGATGGCCCTGAAATGAGCATTTCTCTCTGGCATTGCTCCTTAAAGCTCACATTTTCTGCCCTTTTCAGTGAGTCCTATTCTGACACATGAAGCTGGAGCACAGACTGAACCTGTAGTACTGGTGGAGGGATGTAGGAACTATATGAGAATATGAAAATGAATAATATTAATTGTATGAAATAATATGAAAAAAATCCAACCCTCAAGCTCTGCCCCTCTTTTCACCTTGGTTCTGCAGCTCTGCTAATGCATCCACTTCTTCCCCAAGGACTTTCTGGTTGCTTTTAGGTCAGTGCTTTTGTCCCCTGCCTGTCTGGCTTCTTCCAAGAGGCTGCATGCTTGGAGGCACTATAAAGGATGTATCCAAGAGGTCCTCCTCCTTCCTTTTCATCCAGGGTTGTGGTAGATGTAGATGTGAGACTGCAGGTAAGAGAGAGAGGGTGTCTAGTCATGTTGTGGCCATTTCAGGTAGGATACTTATTCCCAGGCAGAAGTCCTGGCTCATAACCACACTGCCCCAGGACACAGAGCTAATGTACCTCCTTCTGGATCTTGGGCCTTTACATTCTTCTGGGCTGGGGACAGGAGATAAGGAGCCTACTGCAGCTCACCTCTGCTGTGAGCTTTTCCTTAGGTGCAGGCAAGCAAGCTGTGCCCCATAACTGATTTATGCTGTCTGACCTCAAGCTGATATGGGTTACTTAGGATGCAGCAGCTGTGAGACTGCCCAGCTCTCCAGAAAGGTCCAATTGCCCTGCAGCAAGATGGAAGGGGAACCAAAAGTGGGAAGTGGGTGTCATCATTTTTGCAGTTACTGGCCTGGGGCATTTCTGGCCCCATTCAGTGCTCTGCAGCGAGAACTTGTATTGCTTCTGCTGGGCTGTTGCTATGTGCTGCGGGGCTGTTAATGACATTGAGTGTGCCAATGTGCTGGCAGAGATCTGTGAAGGACCATCTCTTCCCAGAAGCAAACTTGGAAAGCTGACACTTGAGAGTGATGCATGGGGGAAGGAGGTGTGTGCTTTTAGCAGAAGGAACAAACTGGCCCCCAGAGCAACTCATCCTGGGCATAGTGGGCCACTGGAAAGCTGAGGCCAGCCTTCATCCAGATCACCAGGAGATTTTCCTTGGGCCTCATTGAAGTGTCAGACCTGTAGTCTCCACTGTGCCTGCCAGAAGTCCTGTCATCTCCTACTCTTCCAGTGAGCAGCGGCTGGGTGGTGCCAGTACTCTTTGCTGTGAGGGTGATGTGCATGGGCACCAGTGAAACTGCCCAGGAGATTTCTAGCAAGGATGAATCAAGTAGCCTCAGGCAAGATATTTGCAAAAGTTCCTGTTGGGCTTAAAAGCCTCAGTCTGCACAGCCTAGCCCCTGAGAAAATGCTTCATCAAGATGGTGTAGATGAATGATTAACAATAGTGGAAAGTTATTGAGCGGTTTCAGTGTTTTCATCAGGGATATGAAAGTGGGGGATTTTCTCTTTATACACTTAACAGCCTGTTCTGACAACAGATTTATGGTCAGAAATGTCTAGTTACACAGGCAGTCATGGAGTGCCAAGTCAGCACTCCTGAACTGTTCCATGCTGGGCTCCAGCAGGCAGCTCCCAGCACCTCAGACTGGCTTGTCTTGTCGGGGAAGGCATCACCCAGTGAAAACTAGTGTTAGCTGGCTCCGAGGGGTTAATGGGTTCTCTGGGACCATGACACAGCAAAACACAGCCGCCTGATTTGTACCCAGAAAGCTGACTCAGTGACCAGGGCTTGCTGTGTAATAGCAGGGGGAACATAAAAGAACTTGCAATAACCACTTAAAAATGACTCACTGAAGAAGGGAGCTAGTGCCGGAGTACTCAGGGGTACTCTGTGGGTTAATTCGTGTTTACCGAAGGGAGATTTCCCAGCCCAGCCTGGCCCTGGCAGAACTGACTGTGCTCAGGGTGGCAAAAGGGGAGGTCAGGAGTGCAATGCATTGGAAATCCGCACGGGTAGTGCAGGCCCTGCAGCTCTCATCTGGGCTGGCACTGTTGATGCCTTTGGGAGGGTCCTCTAGATGGACATGGCTGTGCTGGGCAAACCCCCCACACTAGAACCCCAGAGACTGATGTGGTGGGAGATGAAGGTGCAGGCAGATTTCTTAAACATAAATGAACCAGCATGACAAAAATAGGACATGCAGATTACATTATGTATTTTTATAGATGTATGCATATATGCGTGCTGTGGCGCATGGGTGTCTCCAGTACATGGCTATAAGCAAGGAGAGAGCTCTGGGCTGGCTGGGAACAGAGCAAGGAGGAGGATGGAAAACAGAGAAAACACCCTGCAAGGCATATGCCTGCTTTGTGACCAGAGACCCAAGGTCAAGCAGCGACCTAAAGTATGAAGGAGGTCTTCAGGTTATGGGTACACTGGGCTGAAATTTTGAAGAAGGGTGCATAAAGCCCACTGTGCTCCTTAGAGTGTTGGTGGGGATCAACCCTGTGCCCTGCTGGGGATTTTCTTTGGGAGCAAAAGGGAGGTGTGGAAGGGAGTAGGGCAGAGTTAGCAAACAAAAATCCCATTTGTGTAAATATTTCAGTCCATGCCGCCTCCTTTGTTTCAGTGCTACTGCTGTGTAAAACAGTGTGCCCTGACTGCAAAACAGGTCAAACTCTAAAAATCTGTATTTGAAAGTCACACATATGCAGCAAGAAGGACCTTGTGCCACAGCTCACACCCCTTTTTCAGGAAAGGGGAGGAGATGGAGCTGGAAACCAAGTTTTGCAAACAGTGAGACTCAGACACCCCCTGCGCAAGTTTCCCAACTACCCCTGCGTGGTTCCCTGCCCCTGGGGTACTGGAGACGTGGCCTCCTCCTGTGAGAGCTGTGCAGCCAATGTGCTGTGGGCAGCTGGGGCTGGTTCTGGAGATTTCTCTAATTGTCCAGAGAAGTGGGACCAGGGCCAAGAGCAGCAGCTGCAATCTCAGGGCGGTGTGCAGGAAACCACTCAGTAATAAACAGCCTCACGTGGGCCCTGCACCACTGTGACTCAGCAAAAGAGCCCCTGCACCACAGCCTGAAATCTTTACTTAGCAATATGGGGTGGCCCAGCCTGACCTTGACTCAGCAGGACGCCCATGCTGGGGAAAGGGTGAGTCAGCATTAGCCGGAGGCAGGCTGCGAGGTTTTAGGGCTCACACAAGAGTGGGGAGTCCTAGGGGGACGTGTGGCATCACTGGCAGCTGCAAAAATCCCCCCCTCCAGCTGTGCTTCCCAGCCCTCTGCAGCTGCACTGGGTAGGCTGGGAAAGGTG